CTCCCCAGTACCTGTCACAACATTGAGATAGCTCCTTAGCTGTCCCAACAAGCAGCTGGGCATGCTGACATAGCCCCCATGACAGCCACTAGGACCCATCCCAGGAGACTGGGACAGGCCCACACTGCATCCCCTCCCCTGTGCTGTCAGAGCATGGAGAATAGGGGAGAGGCGCTAATGGACGCGCAGCTGTAGGCAGTGGGTGCCAGCCCCCCACCTCATGAATATTCATCAGCCGGGGATCTCCTGAACCTGCGGGGAGTCCAAGGTCCCAGGCAGCTGGGCACCCCCTTCTGTGCCAGGAGGCCCTCAGGTGAGGCGGAGCTCAGCCAGGCCCCAGCAATCCTCGGAACCCACACCCAGTTCCACCACACACATGCACACATGACTGTGAACACAGACTCCCAGACACACAAACAGCAGCAACACAACTCACAACCACACCCAACAACATGGCCATCCACCATCCTACACACACACACACACACACACCACACACCAGGCATGTTAACATGGACACACACAGTCACGTGAACTCATAAGCTCACAGTCACACCCAAACCACACACATACCACACACAGCACGCAACTCAGGGACGTGTTAGCAGTCACATGACCACACGCAGCTTACACCGATAAACCATCACACCCTGACTACATGGACACTTACTGTCACACATAGGCATGAAAATACACACACACACATATTTCCAACACATGGGCATACAATCACCTCCAAACTGCAAGCAACTATTTCTCATAAAACATCCACACAAGGGTGCAAACATGGACCCACATGTTCATACATATATTTCTACCAACTCTGAAATGCAAACTCACACAAACCTACCCCCAAAGAGTGAGCGCCTTCACCCGCCATTCCTCCCTCTCTCGCTCCCTTTCATACACATACACACACACACGCACACCGATCTCTGCCCATTCCTGATATTTTGCAAAAGGGGAAACTGAGGCACGGAGAGGCTGAAGGTCCCTCCTTCCCAAGGAGGACGGCGCCTCTTGACTCCTGGCGGAGGCTGCGGATGGGCGCCCCCTGCTGGTCTGGCCCCTTTCAGGGCGCGCGGGGCGGTGGCGCGCGGGGCGGGCACGCGCCTGACGTAACCATGGCATCCTCCTGGCCCGCGCGGCCCGCGCGGGGAGGGCGGGGCGGGCGCGTTGCCATGGCGCCGACGGGCCGCCTGAATGGGGCATTGTTAGCCGCGGCGCCCGGGCAGGGCTGTCCCGGACCCACCCGGACCCACCCGGCCCTATAGAGACGGGAAACCGGGCGGGGAGAGACAGAGATGGGGAGGAACAGAGACACAGGGAGAGATAAGAGATGGGAGAGGCCTGTAAGATGGAGAGAAATGCACAAACGAGGAAGGACGGACAGAAGGACAAGGAGAGGCGGGGGTGGGATTGAGAAATCTGGGGTGGAAGGCCAGCCAGCCTAGGCCCACGGAGCCCACTGTGCCCGGGCTGTGCCTGGCGGCCAGATGAGGCCGCGGGCCAGGACCTGCAAAGTCATGAGACGCTGAGCGGGCGGAAGAGACCCAGCCATCGGGAGACCCAGAGAGCTGGAGGGTCAGAGTTACCCAGGAAGGGAAGGAAGGGGATGCTCCCAGGGCCTCTGGTGCCCCCACCCCGGAACCTTCCCCGCTCCTCTTTGGACAACACTCTCCAAAGTCACACCTGTTCCCTGCATATCTTCACACACCCGCTAACAGGATACCACCACCATGGGGACCTAGTCTTCAGGAACACTGCTCCAGACCCTCCGAGACACCCTCATGGACGCAGCGACACCTGCAGATACATCGCAGACATCCAGTGACACAGACATGTCAGTCAGACACACCCATCTGACAGGGACTTCTAGGCCACACCAGATTGACACTCACTGTCATAGATAAGGCCTCATAGATGCCCTGTCACTTGAGGACCCTGCCAGACACTCATGGCCACGCACTATCCCATGGGCTCATACTCCACGGAAACACAGTCACATGTGCCCGCCAGACCCATGGTACCCTGTGACACCTGCACACGTTTTCCTATGCTCAGTGACAATTCTGAGGACATACGCACCTTCTGCCAGGTGTGACCCATGGACCGGGTGCCCTGTCTCCTGGTCCAGATTAGGGGTCTGTAGGGGCTGGTTCAGTTCTCCATGCTTGACAGACAGAGCATCAGTCACCAGTGGAGACTGGGAAGGGAGGGGCAAGAGACGAAGCCCCGCCCTCTCCCCCTCAAGCCAGGGTCAAGCCAGGCTAGGGCGGTCCCCTAACTCCTCATAGTCTGGGTCAACTTGGCCCAAACCTGGACCAAGGGTGTCCCCTGGTGGCTATGTACGGTCTCTGCACTCACCAGGTCAGGGGCTGGTGAGCTGCCCAGTGGCCCAGCCTAAATAAAAGGGCAGAGAGAACAGGCCCAGGCTCAGCACACAGCCTGGAGATTGGAAGTCAGGGTCTTGAAAGGAGAACCCAGACCTGAATCCAGAGTCTGGAATCCAAATTCCTGAATCCAGAATCCAAATCGAGATTCCCAGGAATCCAATCTAGAATCCAGATCCAAGAACTCAGGACCCACACACTAAAATCCAGGTCCAAGTGCCCAGTATCCAGAACCCAGGATCCAGAATCCAAACCTCTAGATCCTGTCTGCCAGAATCTCGAATTGAGGAGCTAGAATCCAGATCCAAGAACCCAGAGCCCACAGCCCTCCTCAGAGCCAGCCCCCTGTGTTCTCTGAGCACAACCCCCCCCAGATTATAGCCCAGGAAGAAGGGCGTGTGGGGGCAGGAACAAACAGAAAGAGCAGGACAGGGGCCCCACAGTGACCATAGAGCCTCTCCAGCTGCTGCCCTATGCGAGCACACACACACACACACACACACACACACACACACACACACACACTTCAACAGGATCTTACCCACAGAGCCATACCCCCAAACACACAGCCTGAGACCATCATACATATCATACACAACTATACACACACCCTGAGACAGACCATCACCCCGAGACACCTGGAACAGCACGCCACATGCTTCTCTCCCACTGCATGGATACATGTTCACCTGTGCACCCACACCATCTCAGGGCTGGCTCTCATCCTCAGCCATCCCACCAAGCTCAGACCACACCCAGAGACTCACAAAAACCCACAACTCCTTGCCCTGCAACCAGATACACTTGCAGAATTGTGGAGGTTGACACAAGCGTGCATGCGTACACACACACACACACACACACACACACACACACACACACACACATGAACTCCCCCAAGCACTGAGAAGCCCCATGCCTTGGCAGCCATGCAGCCCCTGGGAACAGGACCCCTGGGAAGGGGCTCACCGCACACCCCCTCATGCCCACCCCAGCCCTCCCCTGCCTGGCTGGCTGGCGGGCTTTAATACAGATGCCAAACTCATAATTGTAACTGAGGGTGACAGGGTCACCTTGAGCCCCAGATGCTCATGCGGTGACAGATGGCGTTGGCAAACCTGATTAGCGGCCCCTGTGCCAGCGCCTGTGGCACCTGCATCTCCCGCCCCTCCCCCGCTCCCCCAGCACTCATTACCCACCCATTACTGGGCCTGGGGAGCGGGGATGGGGGCTGGTTGGCACTGCCCAGGAGGGGGCAGGGACTCTGGGCGCCCCCCACCGCACCAAGGTTCCCAGCTGGCTCCCTGGCTGGCAGGAGGTGGGCACAGCTGAAGATGGGGGGAAATCAGGGGCCTCCTGCCTGCCAGAGAGGGGTGCCCGCAGTGCCAGGGTTGAGCTGCCCACTCTGACATCACCTGATCACCTGGGGGTTGGCACAGATTTTTGGAGGGAGGAGAGAGAATGCACCCCCCATGAGCCCCTCATGACCCTCCCACCTCCCCAGGGCCCTTGGAGCAGAGCCTTGGGAGCTGCCTGCCTGGCCTGTTCCCACCCTTCTGTGCAGGCCTGTGGGGTCAGAGGTCGCGGGCTCCCACACCCTGCTGGCCCATCTGTTTCCTCGTGTCCCCTCCTCCTGCTCCCCTCACCTGGGGCCTTCCTTCCTGAGGCAGGAAGAAGGCTGAGAGGGGCCCGGCTGCTCCCCCACCCCTGCGCTCCGGGGGGCATTTGGAGGCAACCCTGACAGCACCACATGTCCCGGTGTCTGTGCCAGACGGTCCCATCTGCTAGGGCCCTGGTTCTAGCTGCCCGAAGCCAGGCTGGCCTCGCCCGCCGCAGCCCCTGTGCCCAGCTGAGGGAGCACCCCCAATACCTGCACCACAGCACAGGGCCACCTGCTCCCAGGTTGGGAGAAAACACAGCCCACACACAGCTGGGTTTGCCAACCTTTATGGTTCTTGTGGAATGCCACACTAGGCATGGGGCTGGGTGGGGACGGGTTTGGGGGAAAGAGGGGCATCTCGGAGCATGTGGGTCCTGCCATTGACTTGGGGAGCCCAGGTCTTTCTGAGCAGCTGTCTGACCCCCTGCCTTGGTTTCTTGGGGTCTCAGGCTGGAGGAAGCACCACGTCTCCTAGTCTGGGTGGGGCCATCTGTCCTCCCCGCTGCGGAAGTGTGTCTTTGACTCATTCTATGAGAGTTCCAGCCTGGGGGTTAAAAGTGGGCACCACACAGTCTGAATGCTGGCTCTGCCACTTACTGTTGTGTGATCCTAGTGAGTGGCTTTGACTGTTGGGTCCTCAGTTTCCTTCTCTGTGATACCAACCCCTATCTCACTGGGCTGCTCTGTTTTAGTTCATGTGAAAAGCTTAGTGCAGGGCCTGGCAAACTGAGAATTCAGTAAGTGTGTGGTGTGACTATGAATGGTCTCCCCCATGGCTGGAGCTGTGCCTGGTGTCCCCAGAAGCAGGACGAAGTTTCTGGAGATCTGTCTGGTTGCCCCTGTGTCTCTGGTCTCTACCCAGCATGCATGATCTGGGTCAGCGTCTTCCTTGGCCATCTCCCCTCTCTGAAGTGAGTGTATCTGTGTTTCTGTCCATCATGTTCAGATCACACCTTTGGGCTACAGTGACACTCCTCAACCAGCACAGTGGACATCTTCACCCGCCGTCGGGAGACTGGGCTGCCCGCCCAACACCACAGGACCACGGGCACCCGGCGCTTGCGAGCAGGCGCACAGCTGTTGCAGAGGACGAGTGGGGCCGGGCCCAAGCCGGGGACGTAGAGGGAGGAACAGTGGCCAAAGCAGAGGTGATTTTGGAGGTGGACGGCCGTGCATCCGCGCTGGGAGAACACCTGGGGCCGGAGTCAGGGAGACGGGTTAAGGGCAGAGGAGTGCAGGGTCAGAGTGGTGAGAATAAACGCCCATCTGTTTTCACCCACCTTGAGATGCATGGATGCCTGGGTTCAAATCCTGATTCTGCTAGCTGCTGGCTGTGTGACTCAGTGTAAGCTACTCAACCTCTCTGGACCTCAATTTCCTCACCAGGAAAATCATCAAAGCTCAACCAGGTAAAGAAGACACCACTATAGGCCTTTCAACAGAGAGGATTAATACAAGGAAGGACTGCTCCTTCCAGGCAGGCCACCATGACAAGGTAGCCTGGGGATTGGCACCAGCAGGAAGCCACTGCCATCTCTAGGGATGAGTGAGAGCGGGAAAGGGTGGTATTACAGGTGCCCCAGGGCAGGGAGGCTAAACAGAAAGCCTTTAACCCTCTGCCTGGCACACAGTCGGTGCTAAATAAATGTTAGTTCCTCCTATGATGCCCTCCAACTAAGTGGAGCCGTCAGCTTGCCCCCAGATCATTGCCCTTCTCTGTTTAAACCCCCTAGTCCTCCCTTCTCCGCCCTAACTTGCCCCCTCCCCCTCCCACACTTGGTCCCAGCCACCCCTCCAATATACTCACTGTTGCTCCAATACAGCAGACCCACGCCTCCCTCCAGCGCTTTGGCCCTGCTGTACTCCCCTCCTGGGCCACTCTTCCAGACACCCTCCCACTAGCTCATTCGACCTCGACCTCATCGTAAAAGCAGCCCCCAGGGAAATGTCGCCCCCTGGTGGTCTCTCTTCTCACCCGCCAATCTCTCTTGGTGTGTTCAGAGCCATTTGTAGTTAAATCTCTTCGGGGTTTCTTTCACTGTTCCTCTCTCTCCCAGAATCTAAGCTTTCTGGAAACAGGGACTTTCTGTGCCTTTTGCTTATGGGTGTAGCTGCAGCAAGTGCATCACCTCCAAAGCTGCCACGTCCTGAACCCTAACATCAGGCCTGGCCCACGCTACTCACCTTAGGCGAACTCCCTCCTTCCCCCCAGTGCTGAGAGGCTGGAGCCATTATGATTCCCACTTACAGATGAGGAAACTAAGGCTCAAAGGGGTCCCTTGCCTAAGGCCACACAACTGTTCAGGGGGCTGCTCAGACTTAGAGCACCTTTGCGCCACCCCCACCTGCTGGGGAGGCATTTGCAGGTCTGTGAGAGGGCATGCAGCTGGATCTCAGGCCCCAGGTCTGATGCAGCATGCCAGCTGTGCAGGGCAACCTAGGCAGGAGTCAGGCCAAGGCAGCTGATCCAGGATTCAGTGCAGGTTCGCTGAATGAATAACAAGCCAAGGGGTCTTAGGAACTCATGTCTTGCTGGACATGGTCCCAGACACTTGGCAGAAGTCTCGACTATTATTAATTCTATTTTGCAAAGGTGGGAACTGAGGGTCAGAGAAGGGAAGCCATTTGCCCTGAGTCACACAGAGATCAGCAATTAAGGCAAACTTGAACCCAGGTACACCTGGTACCTGGTGCACCAAAGCCTGGGCCATAAACAATACATGATATGCATTCCTACAGCCTTTATAGAACACCAACTGAATGCTTATCCCTACACCCATCTCATTCAGACTTCCCAATAGCTCCTGGGAAGCAAATACCACTACTATTTACTATTCAGCATTCATTCAACAAACCCTGACCACACCACTGTGTGCCTGGCTGTGTTCTAGATTCTGGGGACAGGGATACAGAAGTGAATAAGGCATAAAAATCCCTTCTTTGGTGGAGCAGACATTCTAGTGAGGAAGAAGTGATGAATGCAATCACAAAATCCATTTCCTACACTAGGTGATGATGTGTACTATAGCGAGAAATTAAGGAGAACAAGAGGAACTGGGTGGGAGGTGGTGCATTTTTTAATAACATTCAGGTAAAAAACCTGAAGGAGGTGAGAAAAGGAGCCATAGAATGTTGACAGGGCAGCGGGTGGGGTGCAGGGATGCTAGAGTCAATGGGAGCAACCAGTGCAAAGGTCCTGAGGGAGACAGAATGCTGGTGTGTCTGGGAAAAAGTAAGGTGGCCAACGTGCCAGGAGTGAAGTAGGAGAGAGAATAGAAGGAGGTAAGGACACAGACACAAAAGGCAGAGCTTGCAGGGCTTGTTGGCCTCGGGGAAGACTTTGGCTTCTTCTCTGAATGATGTGGGAGCCATAGAAGGTTCTGAGTAGAGGATGGAGGGGCTCTCAAGTGCTCATGGGCACCCCCTGGCCAATAAATAGAAAAATATATTTGGAGGGGGGTGTGGCCATAGCAGAAGCTGGGAGACAGGATGGAGGCATGGTCTCAGTAAGAGGCTTATGCCCCATTTCCCATTTTATAAGAGAGGAAACAGGTGCTGAAACCCAGCCCTCTCCTTCCCCCACCCACCCTCACCTGAATGAAGGGCACAGCTTTGCACATCTCCAGGGCCACTTCCTGTGGGTCCAGTGGCAGAGACATGGTAGCAGCCACCTCCTGCCCATGCTGCAGGGCACCTGTCCCCAGCCTCCTGGTCTTCTGCAAGCCCAAGAAAGTCTTCCAGGTGCCAATAGAGGAGGATGGCAAGAGGGAGGCTGGGGCCCCTTGGCCTAGAGCCCAGGACTGATTGGCAGCAGCCCAGGGCTGGGGTGAGGGATCCTGGGGTCCAGGCCTCCCAGAGCCTGTGGGTAGCTGGGCCCCACTGAGCAGGCTCAGGAGAGTGGCCAGCTGGCTGAGGAGCATCTGTCTGTCCATCTGCCTGTCAGTCTGTCTGAGAATGGGCTCAGGGTCCCAGACAGTCGACCCTGCTGTCTGGCTAGTGCAGTTTGACCCTTCCAGACCCCCTTTTAATGGCTTGCCCTTTGCCTGGGAGCCTGGGAGTCTCCTCTGCTAAACCCACAATGGGGAGGAGAGTAAACCCAAACTTGTTGGGTTCCCACCCCTCCCCCCAGCCTGGTGGGGGGCCTGGAAAGGCAGCCTGGTATGTGGGCTGTGGGGACCTGGAAAGGCAGGTCTAGAGGCAGGGACTCAGAGGCACTGAGGGACTCCTTTCCAGGTCCAGGGCCCCATTCAACCATTTAGCAAAACCAGACCATGCAGCCAGTCTTCTGGGGTTTCAATCCCAGCACTGTACCTTTCTGGCTGTGCAACGTCTGTCAAGTCCCTTAACCACTCTGGGCCTCAGTTTCCTCTTCTGTAATATGGGGGTAATAACAGTCCCTCCCGGGTAGGGTGTTCTGAGGACTCGTGAACATTTACATAAGAGCCGAAAATAGACGCTGATACATACTAGCAGCATGAGTAAGCTATGATTAACATCATCGGTGTTGTTTTTCTCGTTAGCACCTATTAGAGGCCAGACACAGTTCTGAGCTCTGGATACAAGGGAGCAAGATAGAAAATGGGTCCTTGCTGCCACCGGTTTTACACCGTAATACAGGAAACAGACAATACAACGTAAGTAAGATGATTTCAGAGCCTTAAGTGTTAAGATATTTAAATAGGATGCGCCTTAGAGATGTGGGGGCGGGGCTTCTGCCCCCAAGATGGTCTGGGAAGGCCTTCGTGAGGAGGTGACATTTTTGCAGATCCCTGAGGCGTTGTTGGTGGCGGTGGGAACGTCCTGCTGGGGGGGTGGAGGTCGGAGTGCTTCCAGCACATAAAGGGGTGGGAGCCGCGTCCCAGGCTTCGGGGTCCCGGCGCCTCCGCGGCCCCCACCTCACACCCAGGTGAGGAGCTGCGGGCCGCGGGGCGGTGAGAAGCCGCGGCGCCAGTCCTTCCCGGACCCCTCCCCCAGCTCCCGGAGCGGCGAGGGCGATGGGGTGCGCTCGCCCTCTGGCGGCAGCTCTAGGGACTGCATGGAGGCTGCGTCCAGGACACCTATCTCCGGGACGCCCCACGGGCAGGTGCGCGGATGCCTCCCATTCACCCGGTCACATCCGAAGTCCTGAGCCCCAGTCTGCCCTTCCTCTGTTCAGTAGACCCAGCTTATGGCAGCTTAGTCCTACCAGGTGCTAAGGAAGGGAAACTTTGGAGCATCCTTGACCCCATCTTCTTCTTTGACCCCCCCCCAATCTGATAAGACAGCAAGTCCCATACCCTCCAGAATCTACCCAGAATCTGCCTACTTTTCACTCCCTTCTTGGTCCCACACATGAAAACGAACCCCATTATCTCCCACCCGAACCAGTACAGGCAGCCCCTCAGCCCTGGTACCCCAGCTCCCGCCTCCTCCCCCTAAAGCCTGTAACCTTCGCAGCAGCCCGAGGGCGCCGGCGAGCACCTGAGCCCGCGCAGGCACCCTCTGACTCAGAACCCTCCAGGGCTCCCACCTCACGTGGGGATAACAGCCGAAGTCCTCCCTGCAGCCCCCCAGGCCTCATCCTGTCTGTTCCCATCACCTCCCACCCTCGTCTCCCGACCCTCTTCCCCTTTTTCACTCCCTCCAGCCACACGCGCCTCCACGTTGTCCTCTAGCTTCACCAGGCAAAATCCCAGGACTACATAGCTGCCTGTACAAGGCCGCAGAAGCTCTTTTTCAACATAGATTCAAGAAAAAGTTCAGTTAAAAAACTTAAGAATGGAGCGTCTATTAGACGCTGACCTTCTGGGGAGAAAGAAATGAGAATCTACAACTAAGGTTTACTTGTATTTGTATTTACAGTTTACATGTATTTGCATATTGAAAGGAGCAGCAGGATTTTCCTTTTGGGCAGATGAGATGGGGAGAGGCTTCCCTTTGGAGTTTAAAAATGGTTTTAACCAGGGGCTCTCTTGTCCCCTCCGGAGCTCTATTCTCTCACTTTATTTCTAAATAAAAGCCTGTACTTTGCTCTCCTAAAAAAAAAAAAAATGGTTTTAACTATGCAGAAAGAAACTTTAAAAGGCACAGATGAAAGCTTTCTATACTCTTGTTTTGCCCCCCGCTTTTTAAGTGAATATGTCAGGTATTCAAGTAAGTATAGATAAAAATATAACAAACACCCCTGTACACATTACCCCAATTAAGAAATAAAATATCACAGATATGAAAACTGGCTCTATATTTGTCCCTAATCTCTGAATAGGCCAACTGATTCAGAAAACATGTCAAATTTGTTGCACTGTTGAAAACAATATACATAGTATCATAATGTATATACATCCTTTCAACTTTCATCTGCCTTTCACTTCATGTTCCTTGATTTTTCTCTGCTGAAAACTATCCCATTGTATATATCTAGCCCAAATGTATTTCTTCATTATCCAATTTCTAAGCATCACAATCCTGCAAGGAATATTCTGCAACATGAATCTTTTACACTTACTGTATCTGGGAGTTGGCTCCGAATCAGTGGTTCACATTCTTGGCTGCACATTATAGTCACTTTGACTTGGGGAATCAGTACCCAGACTCTGCTCCCCAATCAATGACATCGGAATCTCTGGGGATGGGACCCAGGCATTAGTGTTCTTTTTTTTTTTTTTTGGCATTATTGTTTTTAAAAAACACTTCTGGCGGCTGTGAACCTCTGGGCTGTTTCTTGATACATATACAGCAGTAGGTCTCAAACATGAACATGCATTGGCTCAAGGCTCAAGCCTGGAAGACTGCCACACAGATCACTGGGCCCCTTCCACAGAGTACCTGATCCTGGGATGGAGCCTGCTTTTCTAGCAAGTTCCTTGGTGGTGGTAATGCTGCTGGCCTGGGGACCACACTTTAAGAGCCACAATGTAGAATCAGCCCTTATTCTTTTTAAACACATATAGTATTACATGTAGTATAATGTAGTTATTACACATATAGCACAGCATAGTATTCCATCCTGTGGATATTCAGTAATTTCTTTAACCAGTTCTCTATTTTTGAATACTTGGTTTATTAAAAAAAATTCCCTGCAATGGAATATCATTAGCTATAAAAAGGAATTAAGTACTGTATTAATTTGCTGGGGCTGCCATAACAAAGTACCACTGCCTGGGGAGCTTAAATAACAGAAATGTATTTTCTCACAATTCTGGAGGCTGGAAGTCCAAGATTAAGATGTCAAGGGGTGGTTTCTCCTGAGGCCTCTCTCCTTGGCTTGTAGATCTTCTCCCTGTCCCCTCACCCAGTCCTGTGTGTGTGTGTCCAGATTTCCTTTTTATAAGGACACCAGTCATACCAGGATGGGGCCCACCCTAATGACTTCATTTTAACTGAATTACTTCTTTAAAGACCCTATTTCTAAATATGGTCGCATTCTGAGGTCCTGAGAGTTAGCACTTTTAACGTAGGAATTTTAGGGAGACACAACTCAGCTCAGAGCAACTACCAATACTTGTTACAATATGGATAAACCTCAAAAACATGTTAAGTCAAAGAATTCAGACACAAACCATCACATGTTGTATGACTCCATTTATATTAAATGTCCAGAATAGGAAAACCTGTAGAGATAGAGCACAGATTGGTGCTTGCCAGGGGCTGGGAGAGGGGGAATAGGGAGAGACTGCTTAATGGGTATGGAGTTCCATTGTTGGGTGATGATAATGTTCTAGAACTAGATAGAAGGGGTGGTTGCAGAACATTGTGAATGCAATAAATCCATTGAATCGTTCACTTTAAAATGATTAATTTTATATTGCATTTTACCTCCAATTAAAGCCTGCCTTCAGAGGCCCCTCCCTGCCATGGCCATTTGGCATCTGCTGTGTACGGAGCCCCAGCCAGCAGATGAAACTCAGCCTAGGCTGGTTTGATATCAGAGTGCCTATTCTCAACCTCTAGGTTGGTGTTTCTCAGAGTAGTTCCCAGATTTCCTGGACTGGTAGGAAACTGCAGCTCAGAAGTTCCACACCTGCTGCCTATCAGCCCCTCTCCTTCACTTACATTGTAATTATTTGTGTGTCTCACCCACAAGACTGTTAGCTGTTTGAGGTCAGGGAAGACTTCTTCTTTCTGTGTCTTCAAAGGTCCAAGGGGTGGAGGAGGTGACCACCGAGTTAAACAAGAATGACAAGAAAGAACCTACCATGTAAGATCCTGGGAGATGGTTCAGTCAAGTTAATGCAAAGGCCCTGAGGCCAGTGCAGGTCAGGGAACAGGTGGCCCCTTGTATTGCCAATGGGTTTCAGCCCCAGGCAAGTTCGCTATGGATTCAATGTGACCAAAGAAATTGACAGCAAAACGTTCTTGGGGTGAAAGGGTTATACCCAACTTTATTTCCAGGTGGCAGGTCAGTCACTAAAATCCCATTCGCCCAGAGCAAGTCTGTATGCAGCAAGCCAGTCTTTGCCTCTGGGCCCCTCTGTCCACAGGGCCGTCCCACACAGCCATCCTCTGGGCCTCTGTCCTCGGCGCTGCCACCACTCCAGCCTCTGCTCTGCTCTCCTGCAGCCTTACAGCCGTGCCACCGTATCCCACCCAGAGCACTGGGCGGAGCTCTTTATAGACAGTCAACAGCAATGTATTGCCCACAGGTGTGCAGTGAGCTAGTCGACCAGGGCCAGGTGAGAATCCTGGCCACAGGAACTCTCATGTTATCCACACCCCTTCTACCTCCTAAGGGTTTTCCTGCTCCTACAAGTCACCCTACTCAATGTCTCTTCAGCTCAGCAGCTGGGGGAGGATCATAAATCATATACATCAACTCCTCTGCTCAAGGACCTCCTTTGGCTCCCCACTGCCTTAGAATAAACCTTCACCTTGGCTTATAATGCCTGTATGGCTGGCCGCTGCTTAATGCTCTTCACTTCACCTCCTCCTCAATTCTCTTCATTTACAGGACCTCAACCACACCATCTGTCCCTCAGCAAATCCTGGGGAGGAACTTGGATTTGTTGAGTACCCCAGAGAAACTTCCCTGTGGGCACATGACACAGACAGACAGGCTCACTGCAGCATCACTTCTGCAATCAGGAAAAATTGGAAACAAAGGTCCATCAAAACAGTCTGACAGAATAATTGTAGTTTATTGATACCATGGACAAAAATGAGCACATTTTTTTCATACTTTTTTTTTTTTTACCATGAAGCACAGTAAGAAATACATTTTACACTGTGAACCAGAGGTAGTAAATTGTACTTCCCAAAGAGGCCTCAACAGTATGTCCCATTCTATATGCTCTACATAAATCCTTTGCCTGTGACCTTGACAGTGTGGCTTTGACAATCCTTCTATCAAGCAATAAGGTCTCTGACCCCTTCCCTTGAACCTAGATAACCTTTGGCTCAACCAATAGATACAGATGGAAATGACAGCATGTGACTTCCGAGGCTCAGTTAGAAAGATGTCATGCACTTCAGCCTTGTTTACTTGGGACCAAGCTGCCGTGTTGTTGAGCAAGCTCAAACTGGCCCCTACTGAGAGACCACTGTGTAGATATTCCAGCTGAGCTCTGGCCAGCATCCCCCAGAAAACATGAATGAATGAAAATGCCTTCTAATGATTCTGGTGGCCAGGCATCAAGTCAACTCAACTTTAAATTCTTCCCAGCTGTAGACTGCATGTAACAGAGACAAACTATCCATGCTGTGCCCTGCCCAAATTCCTGATCGACAGAATCCATGAGCATAAGAAAAATGGTTGGTTGGGGAAGGTTTGTTAGCATCAACTGCAACTGGAACCCTAGTATATACATACACGTATATATGATGGAAATAAAAGTTTTGCCAAACAATATTTACCTTTCCACATGTGATACAGTCAGGTATTTTTATGCTATTCTATTTTTATGTTAAAAAGTAAACACTGTACACCCACGTTCATAGGAGCATTATTCACACTAACCAAAAGGTGGGAGCAGCCCAAGTATCTATCAGTGGATGAATGGATAAACAAAATGTGGTAAATACATATGATGGGATATTATTCAGCTTTAAAAAGGAAGGAAATTCTGACCCATGCTACAATGTGGATGAACCCTGAGGACACTAACAGTCACAATAGGACAAATAATTATGGTGTCACCTAGATGAGGCCCCTAGAAGAATCAAATTCATTGAGAAAGAAAGTAAAGTGGTGATTACTAGGGCCTGGAGGGGCAAAAAATGAAGAGTTAATGTTTAACGGGGACAGTTTCTGTTTTGCAAGATGACAGAGTTCTGGAGATGGATGGTGGGGATAGTTGCACATCAGTATGAATATGCTTCATGTCACTGAATAGTACACTTAAAAATAGTCATGATGGTAAGTTGCATGTGCGTTTTGTCAGGATTTTTAAAACAAACAGTTATTAAATTAAAAAAAAAAAGAGGAAAAGGTTTGTATGACTCATTCTTCCCAATTGTAAACCTGGAAAGAAGGAACAAAATATGTACTGGTGTAATCCATCTCAGTGATTTCCTGAATCAATAATGGGCCCTGTGACCATCCCCCAACAAAACGAACACAGCTGCACAGCATGTACAATAAACCTACAGGAATCTCTGTGGAAATATCTGAAAATGTCTGGAAAGCATGAGGTTGAGGGAGAAAAGGTGCAAACTAATATGCTCAGGATACCATTTATGTAAATTGTTTAAAAATATATATACTGCATATTGTTTCCTTAGACTCCAGATAAGTAGAAAATGCATAAAGACTGGTCATGAAAGAATAAGCTAATGTCAAAATAAGCTTTACTCCTGAGAAGGGGAGAGAAGGCAAGGGGTGACTTGGCAGCTGGAGGCCTTATTGTCCTTGGAGGCTTTTGTAGTAGGGGTCAAGTTTTATTAAAAGGATCTTTTCTTTACTGAGTACAGAGTCCTTCTTTTTTTACATTTTTATATTGAGGTATGTACAGTAAAATGTACAAATCTTAGTGTACTACTTAATGAATCTTGACAGGTATATAAACTCATGTAACCATCACCCAGATAAGATATCAAACATTCTCACTAATTCTCCCCCCTTCAAAAAGGAATTTAAAAAATGATCTGAAGCAATCGAGCCAAAATGTTGGTACTTGTTAAACCTGGGTAATGGCATGAGTGGAAGGGACTCTTTCCTCTGAGTGAAATAATCCATTAACACTGTAAATAAGTAAGTATAAAGGAGCTCTGTAGGATACATAGACACTAACACAGGAGTGGGGAGGGGTTCAGACAGGGAAGAGGGAGGAAGGGAGATAGGTGGAAGGCTGCTCACTATAATCCTTTTCGTTGCTTGTACTTTAATTTTCTAAATTGTGAAACATAGTAAATCTACAGGAAAGTGTGCAACTGACACATATACAACTGAAAGAATCGTTATAACTCAGGCATCACTGTAGCCAGATCAAGAAGTCACATCAAATGTGGTCCAGTTAGAGAAAAGCAAGCAGTACAGGAACACCCAGCTCAATGAAGTGTTACAAAATGACTGCCCTCCCCTGCTGCACACCACCACCACCCACCCCCTGCCATGCCACTGCCACCCAGATGTTCCCTTATCCCACCAGAGGCATCCCACCCCAGCTCCAGAATGACCACTGCCTCCCTTTTCTTATCATTGACCCCTTAAGGTGTGCATCCCTTACATCACCAGGATTTTTCAAGTTTACATAAAAAGGACAATTAGTGTAAATTTTATGCAATGAAAAACACTCCTTTATGAAAAGAAATCATTTGGGCCCTGCTTCCTTTGTTGCATAGGATGTCTGTGACAATCACCCACGTGAGCAGCTGTGATTTCTGCTCTTGCAATTCTGTGCAGTATTCTGTTGGCTGAAACATCAAAACTTAGGTATCCATTATACTGCCGATGAACTTGGGTGCGTGCGTCGTTTCCAGCTTGGAATTGATATGTAAGATACACATGGTGTTGCTATGAACTGTGAACAACCTTGTCAAGGCTTCCTGGTTTGCTGAGCAAACTGCAATTCATTGTGTGTGTGTGTGAGAGAGAGAGAGAGAGAAAATATATATAACATTGACCATTTTAAAGTGTACTGTTCAGTGGCATTAAGCACATTCACATTATGGTGCAATCACCCCACCATCATCTCCAAAACTTCACCATCCCAAATAGAAACTCTGTCCCATTAAGCAGTAATTCCCATTCCCAGGCTCAGCCACCCCTGCCAACAACTATTCTACTTTCTGTTTCTATGAATTTAAGAACGCAGAGGTACTTCATGTAAGTGGAATCATACAAAGAATCCTTTTGCAACTGGTTTACTTCATTCAGCATAATGTCTTCCAGGTTCACCCATGTAGTGGCATAGGTTAGAATTTTCCTCCTTTTTAAAGCTGAAATCCTTTTTAAAAAAATAGTGTTTAGTTTCTGCACCCAGACATTTTAAACATTTTAAAATAGAAGAAATTAAAAAGCATATCACCTCGCACCAGTTAGGATGGCCAACATAGAAAAGACTAGGAACAACAAATGCTGGTGAGGATACAGAGAAAGGGGAACCCTCCTACACTGCTGGTGGGAATGTAAACTAGTTTAACCATTGTGGAAAGCAAATAACTAAAAATAGAAATACCATTTGACCCAGGAATTCCATTCCTAGGAATTTACCCTAAGAATGTAGGATCCCAGTTTCAAAAAGACATATGCACCCCTATGTTTATAGCAGCACTATTTACAATAGCCAAGATAAGGAAGCAACCTAAGTGTCCATCAGTAGATGAATGGATAAAGAAGAGGTGGTACATATACACAATGGAATATTATCCAGCCATAAGAAGAAAACAAATCCTACCATTTGCAACAACATGGATGGAGCTAGAGGGTATTATGCTCAGTGAAGTAAACCAGGCGGAGAAAGACAAATACCAAATGATTTCACTCATCTGTGAAGCATAAGAACAAAACAAAAAAGGAACAAAACATCAGCACACTCACAGAACCCAAGAATGGACTAACAGTTGCCAAAGGGAAAGGGACTGGGGAGGGAGAAGGAGAATAAGGGGCATTACGAGATTAGCACACATAAAGTAGGGGGAGGCACGGAGAAGACAGTGTAGCACAGAGAAGACAAGTAGTGACTCTATAGCTTCTTACTATGCTAATGGATAGTGACTGTAATGGGGTATGTGGTGGGGACTTGATAATGGGAATCTAGTAACCACAATGTTCCCATGTGATTTTATATTAATGATATCAAAATAAAAATTAAAAAAGAAATTAAAAGGCATAAAATAACTGAATATTTACAATAAAATTTCTACCTAAATATCTTAATACATACAACTTTAAACGTTTTGCTTAGAAAATTTAAATATTTAAAATAAACGTCTAGGTAAGGTTTAAAAAATTATTTAAAATAAAATTATAATGAAGAATTTAAAAATCATAAAGTAGCATATAGTAAAAAATCATAGAAAGCATAAAATATTCAATGTCATCAATATTTAAATAAGTAACATAATTGAAAGATTTTAACGAACTTTAAAAACAGATTTTAAATACTTAAAACATAATGTAATACGTAGCTTGAACTTAAAACTGACATATTTGTTTCAAGTATGTAAATGACTAAAATAAATTTTAAACATTTAAATGTTAAAACAAAAAATTAAAGTGTTTTAAATACGTAAAATTAAATTTTAATTGCGGCTTTAATACATAAATGCGAAAGTAAAATTATAAATTATACTTGAAGATGTATAAAACATACATTACTCCCTCTGGCCGCTGTCCGGACTTGAGGCGGCGGGGACCCCTAGCCCGGCCCGGGACGAGCCCTACGGACTCCGCGCTCAGGCAGCGCCGTGGTCAGCCCGGCCGCCCGCGAGGACCCCACACGGTCAAGATGGCGGCGCCCGCGCGGCAAGTGAGTAACCTCCTCGGGCTGGCGGCGACCCTGAGCCCCGGGTCCCGTGGCTACCGGGCGCCGCCGCCCCCTCGCCGCTCGCCGGGGCCCTGGTGGCCGGACCCGCAAGACCCACTGACCCCGCGCTGGCAGCTGGGGCCGCGCTATGCGGCCAAGCAGTTCGCGCGGCACGGAGCCGCCTCCGGGGTGGCTGCCGGTTCGCTGTGGCCATCGCGGGAACAGCTGCGAGAGCTAGAGGCAGAGGAGCGCGAGTGGTACCCGAACTTGGAGGCCATGCAGGAGTCTCTGAGGGTGCAGCAGCTGGCGGAGGAGCAGAAGCGTCAGGCCAGGTGCGTGCGGTCGGGCAGGTGCTGGGTTGCAGATCTCGCCCTTCGCTGTCGAGTGGGTGAACTGTGCCGCAACTGTGCTTACTCCCCCGGGTGCTCGTCGTGGGGTTTGCGTGCTTAGATTTACGTGCATGTTCACCTAGCTGCAAAATAGACTTCTGAATATGTTCATTTAGTAATTCATCAGCGAATCTTTACTGAGCGCCTACTGTGTGCGGGGTCTTGTCCTAAGTGCTGAGGACACAGCAGGGAACAAAAGATATTTCAGATGATGACAACCATGAGGAAGATAACGTTGAGTGAAGTGTGCGACTTTGGTTTAGGAGGTCTTCTGCCTGAGGATTTGATGTTTAAGCAGAGACCTGAATGACCAGACATAGCCTTGGAGAGATCTTAGGGAGAGTGTTCGCCACGGAAGGAAGACCTCTGGCGCAAAGACCCTAAGGCAAGAATGTGCGTTAAGCAGTAGCCAGGACTTGACATAGCTGGGGAAGAGTGGGAGGTAAAATGGTCCTGGGATCAAGGGCAGAGGCAGAACTTGGAGACAGGTCTCAAGGATCGAACTTGGAGGAAGAATGCAGTACAAGGGGCATCCGGATAGTGCCTCTTCCTGGAGGGAAGGGGCAGCCCAGGCTGGCGAGCTGGGGAGCAGGCCAAATGTAAATGTGTTCCAGATGTTTGTTCTTGGCCTCACAACAGCTGGAGAGGAAGAGGGCTCATGCTTACTTTAGAGAAGAGGACACTGAGGTCTGGGAAGGTGCAGTCACTCATCCAGAGTCACCCAGGCAATGAATGGTGGAGCTAGGATGTGAACCCCCATCTCTGCCCCATCCCAGCTGGATAACCTCCCAACCCAGTCCCAGTGGGGCTTTAGTTTTTCCAGCCTCACGTTTGTGATCCTTAAAATGGAGCTGTGAATGGCACCTACAAACTCACAGGATTGGAGGATGTATTTCTTGCCTTCATTCTTGTGCCTAGAACTGGGCCTGGCATACAGAAGGTGCTCAATGATATCTGGATGGAGTGAGCCTGGTAATGACCCAGCAGTGTGCACTGCTCAGATGACTCAATAGACAGCTCAGGGAAATGGTGGGTTGACTTGGGGTCTGCTCCTGGGGGTTACTGAGGCCTGGCTCTCATGCTCAAGGTCACATATGAATTAGTTCATCTCCCCTGCCTGTTTTTTCA